AAGGGAAAGTGTAGAAGACTGCAGCTTGCCATATGTACAGAGTTGGACTCGTCCTTTATAGTTTGAACTTTTGATTGTAAATTCTGGTCTAAGGTAGTTCAGGCAATTAATTGGGAATGGAATTCCAAAGTTTAAGGTTTTTATGGAAAATGGCAGGTGAAACATAGTGAAGAAGTGATGAATGATTAACCTCTTTAAACTTTTTCCGTAAACTTGATTGATGATGTAACGACTCAAGTTCAAACACTAGTCTAGTAACTTTTTAGGCCTAAAGCATGTGGCCTTTAAAAAACTTAAGCTCAAGTTGATAGTAGTAGTAAACTTGGGTTGCTAATCACATTGCTTTCAAAAACTTAAGCTCAAGTTGCTAGTAGTAGTAAACTTCAATTGTTATGTAGGTCTTAACAATCACATTCATATCAGATGTGGAATGTTAGGCATCACAATCTCACATACTTAAATTCTTGATGTCTTCATTAAAAACACACATAACATCCACAAGACCACTTATTTAAATCCTTGATGTTCTCATTAAGGACACACATCACATCCACAGGACCACCTACTTAAATCCTTGATGTCCTCATTAAGGACACACATCACATCCACAGGACCAAAATCTTACTAGAGTAATATGAAAGCTCACATCGGACTGGCGCAGATTCTAATACCATGTATAAGGATCCAAGTTAAACTATTGGCTTAGTAACTTTATGGGCTTAAACCACGTGACCTTCAAAAGTTTAAGCTCAAATTGTTAGTAGTAGTAAACTTAAATTGTTATGTAGGTCTTAACAATCACATTCATATCAGATGTGGAATGTTGAGTATCCCAGATGATTCAAAGGTTTGGCCAAATCTTGTAGTTCAATCTCTATATAGGAGGTAAATTTAATCTCATGTTATTTTCTTAACCCTTTGTTAGTGTCAAACTTTCTTAGGAAATGAGATATATACCATTAAATTATTATATGGTGATTTTTATGTACACATGATCAAGTTTAAATCACAAAATGAGAAGCATTTCGCTTTTCTTTTCAGTTTGAGGTCCCAAAAGTTTCAACCCTTGGAGTATATGGTAATTTGTGAAGTTATCGAAGGAACTGGATCTAAGCAACAAATTATTTAAAATTAATTACACGCTTTTAGATAGGCATTTATTCTGATATATATATATATATATATATGTATATTTGTCATTTAATACATCTAATTTCATGAGATTGAAACTGTAGAGTAGCTCAACAAAAACGAAGGTACAAATCACTGCAGTTTCAGTGAACACTGTTGCATGCGAAATCCATCCAAGTCACAGTACGAAAACCTCATTTAATAAGCACAGTTGAGCGCAGTCAAGGCAATTTAAGACCCATGTGGGCAGCATAATATACTGAAATAAATGTTCGAGAGAAAGATAGAGAAAAGAAATTAATGTAAATGAAAATTTAAAATATAATAATATTATATATAATTAAAAAAAAAAAAAAAGAGTGAGAGGAGTTGTTTTTCACAACTGAAAGCGTGGCCACAGTTTCACCATTGCTCCCGACACTTTCATCACAGCCTGGCTTCATGATCCTTTCATTTAATGGGAAAATAACGGTTAATTCAATTTCTTTTTTAATATATATTCTTTTTGGTTTTGGGTGTGGAATTTTCATCAGAGATCGACATGTCTTGGCATGATCCATACGGATTATGATTTTAGGCTGCCATGCTTCTAACCATCATATCATGACAACAGCATTGTTTCAAATCTGAAGGATTCTTGTTCATTACATTGGAAATAATTGTCTCTTCAGCTTAATAAATAATTATATCAGACATACGTCTATACATGTTCATAGGACAAATCTGATCTTTGAAATATCAAAATAAGAGACATTGTAAACTTACTCACAAAATAGTGATAAAGTGGGGCAAGAGGGATATGAGAAAAAGGGAAGAAAATAAAAGCTGGAAAATAACTTGTGATTCAAGAATGAAAATTTTATCTGCAGACATTGGGAGGTTTCTTCTTATGCATATCCTTGAAGTTAATTAATTCTATACCAATTTACAAGTGGACGCCGTCAAAAGAGATGTTAGACTGTTTACAAGTACTGCTTGGATTTTTAGAAGTTGAGATCAAGTAAAAAGCAAAGCGTACGATCTGCTTTATACATGTTAGTTCAGTGTTGAAATTAAAATACAAGGGCAATGGTCAAAGTTGGAAAGGACAAAAAAATTAATTTCCAACCCTGGTACGTCCTCCTCCAACTAAAATGGATGCGCAATGCTAAACATTATCCTTGAATCAGACTGAAATCTATTACTTACAAATTTACTCAATATCCTGGATTAAAGAGAATTAATTTGTTCTTGTTATCAGCATTTGTAGATTAACTAATTGATTAGTAGATGTCAATATCAGGCGTGTTCACTACTCAGCTGATCTCCAGTACATTCTTTCTTAAACATCACCATATTTTTCATCTGATTTTTTCTTGCAGCATGCAGCTACCTTTACTATCTTGGTATTCAAGTACTTACTCTGCATTAAATAGAATCTTGAGAGGAGAAATCTTTTGTGTGTGTTTACATAGATCTATCAGCAGGCATATGGAACGATGAAGTCGAGAAAAAACACAATAATATGACCAGACATGTGGAAGATCTGTGATCATTCATTAACAAGAAATAAATTCAAAGATGGGGACGGGACCCTATCTAAAGATTTTGTTCGCATTACATTAGTGCTTCTGCTGCAGGCAAACCTTAATTAAATCCTTATAGCAGATTTTGATATGCAAAATAAATTTATTATTTCTGATCAAATATCAATCCACACAAAGAGACCAACACTGACGAAACATGGAGCACGTGATCCTTAATTATCAAGCATTTCCCAGATTAATGTTTCGGCAAACAAAACAGAATTGATGTTTTGAAGTCTCATTATTTGCAAATGCAAATCGCACCAGATAAAATATTGGAACCTAACACATTGTAGACTTCACCCTGTTACTCAAATCCAAAGGCCTAAGCTCTTGACCTGCCAAACTTCTTGAAAAGGTTCTTTAAATGTTCAAATCCAAGACCAGCATAATCTAAGTCTGAAGGGGTATACCAGTCCAAGTATATTACGACATGCATATCAATATAATTGTTTTTGGTCACATACATGTTTATGAAACAAGTTGAAGTTCCCAAATCATGACGTCGGTCACATTAATATCATCAATCGCCAATTGAGAAATAAGGCGAGGACATTGAGTTTCTGGGAAAGAAATTATTGATCCATTTGCCTTGCACATGCATGCACCTGCCCTAGTCACAAAAAATTGACTGCTTGTTCATATATACCAGTGGTCTACTTTTTCTAGTGTGGAAAATTTTCATCTTGCAATTTTCTGCTTCTTTAAAATGCAGTAATGATCTCAGCTTGTTTTTCTGCTGACTAGTCAGTATTCATGCACATGTTAAGCTCATGAAAAGAAAAAATCATTTTTTGGGGGTAATTAATAATTAAATACTGTTTAATGAATGATATTTTTTGAAGTATGAGATGTTGATGGATTGTTAATTGATATATTAATTGCTGAATATCCTTTTTGTGCAGTAGAACTATAACTTTAGCAGTTACACGTCATTTGATGGAAAGCTTTGACAACAATGCTAATTTAGAGAATCACATTTCAATTAATTATAAGTTCTAACAAAAAAATTGATTAGGGTGCTCGAGAAAACAAAGTACCTCTCAACAAAAGGACAATGGAAAGACAAGGACGTCCTCATCCTTGTGCGACAAACATAGCGTTTATTAGCAAAACTTGAAGACAAAGGATTAGTGTCCTAGATGCATCCATGTTTATTATTGTCAATAGTCATGTTATCTTAATTTTCCAAAATTGATGTTAGATCACTTTCATCCCACTTAAGCATCCAAGAAAGCTTAAGAAAAAGTAGTCTAGCTACCGTCTTACCCACCATCTTTGCCAATCAAGCTGATCTGGTATTGGCAGTGGTGGTTAGGAGCACCCTTTTTTTTTTTTTTTTTGCAAAACTCTGTAAATTTCCCTCCTCTTCAGGTTTGATAGTTCCAGCTGAGAGCACGTATTCGAATTTGATACCTCTGAATTTCTTAGGCTAGAAGAAGAGGAGAAAAGGGAGAGAAAGACAAAATAAATACTTAAGACTAGTGCTTAGAGATAACTGAAGAGCAAGGGTAATGAGATGTGGGCACTGCATATGGTCTATGAGTTGTCCCAATCTTTGGTCAGTATTTATAGTTTCAGCGTCATATCATAAGCCATTTATAATTTTCTTGTTTCTGAAATTAAATGATGAGCAAGCAATATCCTATAGCATTAATTTGAAATGTGTGATCTCACGTCAGTTGAAAGAGAATCCGTTGAAATAAGTAGAAAAAAAGAAGAAGAAACAATCTGGTTGAAAAATCAAAAACGATATTGTTGTTATGGTAAATATTGGTTTGCAATATCCATGTTGCTTCTTCTGATAAAGTCTTTCTGTTCTCCACAAGAAATATTAGCTCTGCAGAAAACTATTGATCATTTAAGTTTGCTTTGGTTTCATTTCTCCTGATTTTTTCTACCAACCAAACTAACGGGATTGAAAAAAAAAAAAAGGGGAGAACGAGAGAGAGATACCAAGAATTTTTCTTGCTTGTTATTAGCAGAATGTGACCTGAAACTACCAGCAATAAAGTTTGTCATTAATACATCCCTGTATTTATTGGACTTGTCTATAAATAAAAAGTCTAATACAAAGGAAATGATGAACTTGAGGGTAAATCCATATCCCCTTCATCATAAACCCTTTTGTAAAATGATCAATATCTTCCATTGGGCCATCTCCTAGACCCCTCTCCTCTCCTTGATGATAACCTAGAGATCTAGATGATGGGAATATAAAGATAAATATTAACAAAATTACAACTCAAATGTCATGAAATTGCACTCAAGCATATGTAAAAATCATCAACTGCAACAGGACTAAATTGAAAAGCTATCAACATTTCATTTTGTAGAAAGGCAAAGAGTGAGAGAGCGGCTCAAAGCTGTATTTGTTGCTTTCTGATAGGGATATAGCGATATGATCAGCGAAGCATGGTAGCAAATTAACCATCACGTGCACACTTAAGTTGTGGGGAAAAAAAATTAGCTGATGGTATTTGCACTGCTTGAGAACAAATAAAATATAATTAATGGCTTTTTGACTTGGGCTAAGGATTGTGGTTGTGATCAACTTCTTTAGAACATTGGTGAATCTGATGGGGAAGAGTTCACCAAATTAAGAATGCTGTTCCAATAGTTCTTATTATCTTCGTAGTAGTCACTTCCATCACCACTGCCTCCACTGTGTTCATCAGATTCTTTGCCACTGTCTGATAAACTCCGGTCCATGGAATCATTAAGAAGAAGATTAGTGAAGCCTTCATCCATTACATTCCCAACATTAACAAGGCCATTATTTGGCCTCAAAGACTCCGGAGTCCATCCTCCTTCCATGGAAATTGTCATATCATGAAGGCTAGAAGTGAATGATAGAGAATTCTCCATACCGTCTTTGTATTCAGGCAAATTACTTGAACTTCCAAGGCCTTTCCAGTCTTGTTCACCTTCTTCTTTGATGATTCCAGTGTCTGATGAGCCAGAAGTAGTGCCAACAAACTCAATCATGGGCATTGAACTCACGCCTAGCCCGGTACTCATGATTGGAGGTGCATTCTCTGAGAAAGTAAGTGTAGATGTAGGAGACTCAAGGTCACCAGCAGCCCCAAGTCCAGTACTGTTTAAAACACCAGTATTACCTTCACTGGATTTTGTCCAGCCACTGTTCCAAGCTGTCTTATTCACAAGCTGGGCAGCTGAAGTAGAAGCAGAAGCAGAAGCAGAAGCAGAAGGAGCATAACCTGGAGGGTTCAGCTGATGTTGGAGTGAATTTGAACGTAGCTTTGATTCTCTAACCAACCTAGCTTCAGCTTCAAGCCTAGCACTCTCCCATTGAGCCATATGGCTAAGGTTTGCTGCATTCTTGGATTGACCATCAGTGGAGAGTAAAGCATCACTTTTTGGCTTGTGAGTGACTGGATCAATTCCCATTTTGGCTAACCTTTTCTTGAGATGAGTATTCCAGTAGTTTTTGATCTCATTATCAGTTCTCTTTGGCAAGTGAGTGGCTATAGCCGACCACCTGAAGACAAAACAACGAAGACATAATAGAGACAGACTCTTACGTATATAAAACCCTAGAAAACATCAACCGCCACAAAGCATTTTTTTGAATGCTTCAGTCATCTAAAGACACAAAAATTAAATAGACAATTAAGAAAATGAGAAAAAAGAATGAAGAAACTAAAATTTATTAAAAAAGAAAAAAAATTCATTTGCTATTTCATTTTAATGAAAAATTGAAGACCATTTTTGCATTTAAAGATCCCCTTGTATTAAAATCAGATGTCAGAAGAAGCAGCAACTTATTGCAAATGGCAGAGACCACAATTTTAATTAATATCTGTAGGGTCAAAAACCACCCAAAAAATAAAAAAGTGTAGGTGATAGGGTAGAGTAGCAGTTCAGACTTGAGAGTAATTGTGTGCGGCCATTATATCAAAAAAATGTTATTGAGTGTAAGAAATTGGAGCTTGAATTTCCAAAACCAAATTTGGAAAAACTAGGTTTAGAAGATCAGAAAACTAGCCAGTGTTTCAAAGTGATACACTCAAGGGTCATGACCGAAGAAGACATCAAAAAATGGACAAGAAAAAGAAGAGGAGAAAATTATCATGAACTTTTACCTGTTCCCCAAAAGGGCATGGAGTTGAATGATGGTCTGTTCTTCTTGCAAACTAAACTTTCCTCTCTTAATATCAGGTCGTAGATAATTAGTCCATCTAAGCCTGCAGCTCTTCCCACATCTTTGAAGACCTAAAAAAAAAATGAGACCAAAAAGAAAAAATTGAGCTGAACTGAAGCATGGATGAGGAATGAATGAAGTACCTTGTACCATAAGTAACCAAGAAAAGAGGAGAGAAAAGGTTAGGGTTAGTCACCGGCTTTTGCCGGCAAGGCACGCCAGCTTCCATGACCATGTTCTTCAATGTAAGCTAAGAGTTTCTGATCTTCTTCGGGTGTCCATGGTCCTTTCTTCAAACCCACTTTGTCACAGCAAGGTGATCGTCCCATTGGGTATATAGTGAAATCAGCAAAGAAGAGGAAAGTTGGTTCTGCCTTTATATAACACAAGATATTGAGAAACTAATGGAGAGAAGGGAGAGAGAGAGAAAGAGGGGGGTGTGGGGTGGGGAGGGGAAGAGGCTTGTGTTTGTAAATGAAGAGATGGGCAGAGAAGAAAGGTCAGTGAAATAAATGGGATAGAGAAATTAATTTTTGATCAGAGCATATGCTAAAGTCACATGACAGAAGGAAAACCCTTTAGTAGCATTATTTCACTATGTAGCTTTACTTAATTCATAGGGCACCAGAAATTGTCCCATATATATATGGCCAAAGAACGAAGGAAGTCCCCAAACCCAGAGGGATTTGAAAGGATTTTTTGGTCCTCACAACACAAAAAAGCAAAGGTAGTAATGGCATGTGGTCCGATCCAAAATTTCAAGTCTCTCTCAAATTTTTCACTACATTACTCATGGTGACGGTGACTCTTCCTCTCAATTTTGACCCTTTTCTGAAGGTGTATTAATTAGCTTATAAAGTTGCATTTTAGAACTAAAATAGTGTATTATAGTTTTCATGGTGCTTTTAAATTTCTTTAATTACACTTTCTCATTTGTGCTTTTGTTAAATAAAGAGAATACATGCACCTACCCTTTCATTACACAAGATTGGGCGAAACACGTACAATTTTGATGGTTGAAACTGATGACACAAGAATGACAAAAACCTTCTCATGCATGATGATATTAATCCGAACCAAACCCAACCCGCACACCACCCCCCCCCCCCCCTCCCAAAAAAAAAAAAAAAACAAAAGCAACAAAAACAAGAAAAGTTTACATATGAACTCGTATGTGTTCAATGTTAAATTAACTGGAATATAAGTAAAGACATCTGCAATTTTCGTAAACATATCACTAGTATGTAGTTGATTGCATTGCAAGATTCCATCTCTAATTAGGAGACATCCTAACGATTAGAGATTCCATGGTAGAGGTTTTGAGTTTGAATTTGAAGATGAAATAAGTGAAATTTATGAGATGAGAAAGGGTTACTCATGTTATGTAACCCGAAATTCCATATATATTTAAAAAAGAAAAGACCCAAAGATGCAAGATGCTCTTAACAGTTCTATGTAACCAGAATTTACTAATGGTTACTATTAAATAAGAGACTAGTACTAATTTACTCGTGGTGAACTTTTAAAGAAACTAAGTATTAACTTATTAAGTCAAAGTCTCATTGAGATCCTTCAAATTTGTACAGTAAATACATACATTCATGATCAGAGATAGACAATTATGGAAGTTTAGCTTGGCCTCAGGTTTGCAAGCTGTAGAACCCTACTTGAAAAAAAGATAGTAGATTTTAACTGTTTTGGAGACTGTAGGGTCTTTACTTCTTGACCAACCTAGCTAATTAGAGCAAATCCATGCCTGTTCCTTTTGGAGATGTGAAATTTTCAGCTCACTGCTCACTACTCAGACCATACAGAATGCAGAAACTATCACATCTGTTGATTGGCTACTCCATGGTATGAGACTTGAGTGCGGATTAACGCCAAACTGTTGAGAGCATTCAGATCTATTGTTACCCAAAATGACGGGGCCAGAGTACATTGCATAGGCAGTCAGTTAGTTTGGCATATTGAATCTGATTTATTGATTTCAGTAACAATTATAAGTTTTCTTCTGGTTTGGCTAAAAGCTGGTTATGACTGCAGAGCCTTTTATCAAGAACTCCAACCCCCATTTTTTTTCCCTTATAATTTCTCCCTTACACTAAAAAAAAGAAAGAGATCCCTTCAATGCTATGTATCACTGCAACATATAGCATAATTATTTAGCAGTTAAATGTTTCAATAATGACACTTTGTTTAATTGTCAACTTGTGCTGATAAAATTAATCACTAAAATGCTGCTGCTCAATGTGAAAAAAGGTCTGCACTCTGTGAAAAAGTTTGTTTCCTTGGTGGGAAACGTAAAAAAAGAAAGAAAAAGAAGAAGAAAAGTTGTGTTTTGTACACTACAACTCATTGAAAAAGTATGGTTTTAATTACTTCTTTATAGAAAGATCTTCAAAGACAATTTCATTTTTATTTCTTTTCAAAAGGGAAAAGTGGATTTCATTGATAACCTTCAGCGTACAAAAGCTTTGGACATGAGACTTTTTGATAGTCATCCTGAAGTCGCAGTAGGGTGTTGCAATTTTTAGTATCGTGTTGCAGTTTTTGAACTTTGTTGAAAACCCAATTTTCTTGCAGTGATATTGTGGCTATTGGCTATGGCTAACCTTTGTACATAATGAAGCCATCTTACGGTTGTGAAATATTTCTGTTTCAAAAAGAAAAAATCATAAAATTCTGAATTGTTGAATTTTAGGTTGATTGGAATTCAAGATCCTATTTGACTAGAATTTTTATTTGCATATAATATTTAGTTATATAGTTTTAAACTTCTTGTTACATATTTGAGTCTTAATCCTATTCTATTTTGAATTTTTATATTGAAAAAACGAGTCTTTAAGTTTTAGAAAAGTAGTAGAGCTTTGAAAGCTGTAAACAGAACACGTTGTAAATTTGTTTTTTGCTATAAGGGGAGTTATAATGGGTGTTGGTGAGTATTCTTATGAGGCTATTAAAAGAGGGTTGCAATGGTCTTTGGGTTGGTTTGAGAAAGTATTAAGAGAGACTTTATATTTTTCAATAATAAAAGAATCGTTTTAGGGGCATAGGCAAGAGGTTGAATTATGTAAATTTTTGTGTTTTTCTATTTGCTTGATTTTCTTGTGTTTTCATCTTTGTTGTTTTTGGAGCAATTTTCATAGCAAACTAGTTTTGGAGTTTCGGGTTTAGTAGGTCAAGATTCATCAATTATATCAAAAGTTACTAGTTCTACAAATTTTTCAATTAAGAAATTTTGATTGGAAGACTAATTTCATGGTGGCAAAAAAAGATGAAAGATCTCCTTTTGCAGCAATTATTGATACACTTTTTGCTAGCAATTAGAGAGCATATTAGATGTTGAATGGGCAAAATTAGAGGAAAAGTGAGGTAGTACTATTTGGCATTGCATTGGAGATAACGTGTTTAACCTTGTAATTGATGAAGAATTTGCTCTAGAATTATGGGCAATGTTGGAGAAGATTTATTTGCTAAAATGTCTTTCCAATGGTTGCAGAATTAGGAAAAAGCTGTATCACTTGAAGATGGAGGAGAATGGAGACCTTGTGAAGAATATGAATGAGTTTGGCGAGATCATTCTTTAATTGAAGAAGGTTAAATGTGAAGGTTGAGGAAGAGGAGATGGTATTATTATTCCTTATATCGATTTTGGACTCCTATGAAGTATATTTGAAATCTCTAATTTACGAGAAAGTACAACAACATTAAAGTAAGCACAAGCAGGAAAGATACAACAACGTTAGAGTAAGCACAAGTAGTGTTAATGTCTTATGAAGCCCACAAGAAAAGTAAGGATCGAAGAAGGATTCAATTGACTCAACATTGGTGGCTAAGGATTAAAAAGGCAAGTCGACTATCAAAAGATCTAAGGGTGGCAAGTCTAGACCTAGTAATGTTCAGTGCTTTCGATGCAATGATATGGACATATTCAAAGATATCGTCCTATAACAGGGGATGAGAATAATGGGAACAAAGGTGAGTATGTTTTCATTACTTTCTTTTTTTTTAAATAAAAATAATTTTATTAACCTTACAACCATAATGCTATCTTTTGCTTAAGTCGTAAAAGACTCCCATGTCATAAGAAATTTGGTCTGGGCAGCAGAAGCCAATACCATTGACAAAAACACTTTCCATTACTCTAATCAATGGTATCCTCTTACTAAAAGATCGAAACATTCATCAAGAGCTGAGTAACCTTTAAACAAAAGTTGGGTATTGCATTCTATTACAATCCACTTAATGATTTCTAATCTTACCTAACCAACATAACCACACACTAATTACAAAATATTGAGTAGCAAAAGCAAAAATGCTTCCTGCTCCTACTTCCTCATTTTCCACGTTAGCAACTTAAGAAACTTGTTACATGTCTTTGACCTTAGTGTGTTTTCATTACTAACAATGATGATTATGTTATCCTTGCAATCTCAAAGATACGAATGCAAATTCTAGTGATAGTTTGTACTTAAATTCTACTTATGTCACTCACATATGCTACCAAAATAATAATAACGATTTACTTTAAGAAGGGGTGATTGTGAATTTGATTTGGATGATAAGTCAACAACGAAATTTATGGATCTTGGAGTTATGAGAATCAAAACGTTTGATGGGGTTGTGCACTCTTTGGGTGGTGTAGCTTATGTCCCAAAGAAATCTAGAATCTAATATGGTTTGTTGTCATTGATGGAGTGATAAAAGTCACACAAGATGACATGGTTCTAATTAATGAGGGGGAATTTGCATAATGTTTTTTACTATCTAAAGACATGAGCATTGCACAACGGATGATGGCAACCAATTTGAAATTTCATTTACCTAGAAAGTGATGAAAGGTTCCCAAGGTTCTCATGGTGTAGATGATCATGAAAAGATGAAAAATCTTCCTAATGTTGGAGAATTGGAGAGGTTGTCATGGTCCCCTTCTAAATTCAATTAGTGTTATTGACTGGATGGTTATACATGTGCCTTGGCTATTTATCAACTTGAGTGTTGGACCATATTTGATTTGTTATGTGTAGTCAGGGTAATTAATTTGAAGGTTAATGGTTTGGAAAGTCTTGAACTTAGAGAGTTGTTTAAAGTGTTAGAAAATAGGTGGAGTTGGAGAGTTGCAATTTGGTGCAATTAGTGAAAAAGTTTAAAGAGTTTGAATTCAAGTCAAAGGTGAAGATTTACTAAGTTTGCGGTTGATTGAAATCCGAAATTGTATTTGATTGGAATTCTTGTTGTGTATAACATTAAGTAGTTGTACAATTTTCCACTTTTTGATCCAAATTGAATCCTAATACTATTATATTTTGAACTTTGTACTATAAAAGTGGGTATGTATTTAGGTTTTAAAAGCATAGTAGGGTTTTGGTGAATGTTTTTGTGAGGTTATTGAGAGAGGATTTACAAAGGTGTTTGGGTTGGTTTGAGAAACTATTGAGAGAGATTTAATTGTATTTTAGTTTCTCAATGATAAAAAAACTATTTCACATTTCATATAAAGACCAAAGGTCCAATCATGTAAATTTTTATATTTTTCTGTTTACTTGATTTCTTTGAGTTTCATCTTTATTGTTTTTTGAAC